CACGCACCTGCCCTTGATGGGGAATCGAACCCGCCAGCCACCCTTTGGTGCCTGGTGGATGCTATAACCTTCTAGCAACACCAGCCAGGGCTCATACCTTATTCTTAGATGCCGATATGCCCAACCAGCTTCTCCTAGCGTTGGTTGGACCAGAGCGAAGGAGAAGGTAGGTTCGGGTCAGCTGGGTTAGTCCTGTTTGACCTGGGACCAGTGGCCTGTCCCAACAGGGATGTCCTCTCTCATGGAGATGGGTGGCTGTCTGGGTACTACGTGCAGTTTCACCCCAGTCCCCTATGTTCATTCACAGCGGGGCGGACTAGTCCATGCAGTCTATGCCTCTAACCCCTCTCCAGGTGGGTCATCCCCTAGTTTGGTTGGGCAGCTACTGGACACAGCCCTTTGGCCCCTGCTACCCCATCTTCCTCCCTCCTGGGAGCTCCAAGCACAGGGTAAACATATGTCCCGGTTTTCCAGCACAGCCCCAGCTTACGGTATGGTCAGCTTCCCCTTCATTCTTAAGGTTCCCAGTTTAGATGGTCAATTATATGGTCACCCTATCCAAGATCCATTGAAATCCTGTCTCGTGATCTCTGGCAGCAAAGAAAACCGATGGAGTTGTTCTACCCTTTTCTTTCTAGACACAACACAAATGCAGAGCCTCGGAGGGCTTCCACGCTCTGCTGCCAGGGGCTAGCTACTCCAGCAGGATTCCCCGCCCTTCAGAAATCTCCAGTCAGCTGTGGGAACCTTTCTGTGTTTGATCCCTCCCTATCCCCTTACCACTGCATATGCACTCTTCAGGGTAGACAGCAAGCTCTGCCAAGAACTCCAGGTGGCAGCCAGAAGTGGTTTCACTGGGGATGGAGACAGTGAAACCAGCTCCCATGATTTCAGATGTCAATACCTGCAGTCATTCTCTCCTGCCTGAGTTACCTAGCCCTGAGGGGAGGGGCAAAGGCCTCAAGGCAGGAACATAAGGCCCCTCTCTCCTCTGGATCCGGCCCTTGTTGCATGGTTACATGTGCAAGTCTCACACGTCCTAGTGAATCCTGTGGGACAGTGTGCCCAGTCTTCATGCCACCCTTTATAATGTAGGATAACATGACATTTTGTTTTCACCTTTGGTTGGGGCTTTCTCAGCCACTCCAAAGCCAAAATCCTGTGACAATTCTTAACTTTTGAAAATGAGCATTAAAATTAGGGAACAATTGGTAATTGCTAGTTTCTTAATGCACATAGTAAAGCAAAATCCCATTAGTTATTACAGCTACTTATCTGGTCATAGCATAAAATATCATCTATACATCAGTTCAAAATTTCTTGGTTCCTTTATCCATTAAAATCTGTTTGTCCATGACAATGAGGTATCACCTCACACTTGTCAGAATGGCTACCATCAACAAATCAACAAATGACAAGTACTGGTGAGGATGTAGAGAAAAGGGAACCCAAGTACACTGCTGGTGGGAATGCAGACTGGTGCAGCCATCATGGAGAACAGTATCGAGGTTTCCTCAAAAAATTAAATATGGGAACTGCCATTGATCCAG